CGGTCCGTACTGTCAAGACCTCGGGCCGATATTCTCCCAGTACGGCCCTCGCGCTTGGTTAATAAGATATATGTATTCTCATAACCTCTTTGCTGCATAAGGCATGGATATATAAGGGAGAATTTACGTTTTAATCCTTCGGGGAGTTTAAAGAGCCAAACTAACTGAACTTAAAAACAAAAACAAAAAACAAACCTGTAATCGGCTGATAATAGACTGAGTCACCCGAGCATCTTTGATCATGTTTCTGTAAATGAGGCTGTCTTTCGTATGCTCTAGCGTGGTACCACAGCCAATCAATGGTGCAGTAACAGTCATGTGACTGCTGTTTTCAGATTTTGTTGGCTGGCAGTTGGGATCCAATAAGCGCACGTCCCTCATTTCAAACTCTGGTATTAGTGATTTTTCTATGTGAACTTGCATCTGGTCGAAATCACAGTCAACCGTGACCTGCTGGTGGAGTTCAGCTGAAAATTTGGAAACTATTTCATTATTGTCTGTTTTCAAGCATCAAGAGAATATGAGTAGCTGGCAACGATGTCAAGAACCTGCCTTGAAAAACTAGCAATTTTACATGTGAAATGGACATAAATGCGCCATAATCTTTTGTTGGTCTGGGAACAGAATTCTGATAAACATGCAATTACATGCAAAGAGACTTATCTTAACTACTGTTCATTGAGTAAAAGGTAGCCAGTTAATCCCGGTTTGTTATTAATAGAATAAGGGTAGAAACATTGGTCCAGATTTTCCTCCACCCCTTTCAGCAGTAAAGACCTTACTGATGAGGGGGTTGTGATTCCGCGGTTGTAACCGAAAAATAAAAGAAGTTGGAGAAGAGTGAAAGGGAATTTAAGGCATGGATTGCAAACGAAAGTTTGACTGTATCGGATTACGGGGAGTTATGGTGAAAATTTACCCGACTAAGGGTTAAGATTAATAATTATTTAAGGGACAAAAAAAAGTTTAAACTAGCGGACGACAAATCCGTTCTTGCAGACCGTGAGTCTGTTCTTATGTCCTTTATACAAAGAACGCTCATCATGTCAGAATACAGTATACTCAATTCATTCTTAATCTTTCGCGGCCTCCTTAGAGATCAGCTACTCATTGGTTTTGTTGTAGTGACTTGTTATGTTTACAACTACATATCATTATTAAACGTTACGATATCTAGTCGTGTCTTGCGTATCATAGAAATGGTTCGGGTCGAAGGAAAGCTGACGAGTACCTTAATTACTCGTCGATGTCACGGTTTCCTGTCACTTCCAGGGTTAAAGCCCAAGTGATCAAACACAACGGTATCACAACAACAAGATGGATTTGTCTTTAGCTTCTCCGTTTATCACAGAAAATATTTTCTTCAATAAAAGCGCAACATCAAGTCTGCCTTGCCTCGCTAAGTCACGCATCTCCTAAATTCATAGTAAATCGTATTAACTTTTAAAAACTATAATATCATACCTTCTGTGTTGCAAATCAGAAGAACAACACCGAAGACGACCGCGTGCACGATTTTCATGACCACAGCTGGCTTTGTCATCGAGAAGAAACGTACAAAACTGTCGTTGCAAATCCCAAAACAATTGTGCTAAAAGCAGATCGTTTTGTCCAGCGAGAACTCCCGCAGCTTCACATACGTTTCTCTTGGTTATTAAAAGTATAATTTTCAATTCATAATGCCTTAGCTGTAAACAGAATGGCTCCCTAACGTGTCGGATACAGTAACTCGAAAGAGTACAAAGGCTATGTTGTTGTAACCGGAAACAGGGTGAGCTAATGATGATCAACATTTTGAGGGGGGTTGGGGTAGCGTCGAATTGATCTGAGGGAAGTGGCTTCTTGGTAAGTAAATCAGCTCTCTGCTCGTTATTCAAGAGCGAGAACTGAAAAGAGAGTATGATTTGAGGAGAAACTATTCACTCAGAATCATTTGAGAGCGAGTCAATTTGGCATCTCCCCTGCTACCAGACCACAAAATGACAGGTATAGGAGAGCTGTCAATCTCGAGATGTTTAATCAGATTAAAGGCTTTAAAGCGAGATGGCGATCGGAGCTGGGTAAGGTAAATTTTGTTGTTACGGTAAACGTTGTCATATCGATCGTTGTTGCATTCCACTGATTCAAACATCCGATTTGCCGATCGGGTACACATACAATCCAAATGCCAACTCTCGATCGTAGCATTTTAGCAAAACTGAATTTCGGACGCCAGTCTCGAGTTTTTGGTGAAAGTAATAGCCCACGTCGCATTTAACTGAAAAGGGGTCACGCATATAACTACAGTGCAAAGCTCCTCCTTGACAAAATGTTTGCACCGGAATTCTCAAGAGCGCAGATTAGAATTGTACTTGGCCAACTGTTGTTCTCTGGGAAAGTTCGCCAGCTCAAGACCATCTGAAAATTGGAGTAAATCTCGATCACCCTAAGTCTCCTTTGTAGCTGTCGGTTGCGTGTCACGCAACACTCTTCTCCCGGAGGGTTCTCGCTATGACACCCCAAGTAGACTAAACATGCTTGGAACGCTCACCCTAAGAAATAAACTTATGACTTTTCTTTTTAAAAAAATAATTTAAAACTGACTGCATCAGCCCCGTACCGAGAAAAATGTGCGGCGAAAGACGATTAGGGTTGTCTTTGGAAAATGAAACGCTGGGTATTTCATCAATCCGGCACTTGGGTAGGGCATTTGACCTAGGGGGAGCGGGAATTTGAACGAGCCAATTTTCAAAGTTTAAATACCCAGGGGTTGCCCGGGGAGGATGTTGAAGCTTCGAATTGATCGACGTATATTAAAAAAGATACGTGACGCCAACTCAACTCAACTGTGTGTTATCCATTTTCACTAAACCGACATAACTATTTCCTTTTTCTAAATGGTCACCCACGCAAAGGAAATCATGACCACATATCTCATTCAAAAGTTTAAAATCGTTTTAAAAGTTTCCTAAAACTACTTACTGATACAGTCAAGATGTTCTCGACAATTGTAGGACATATTCCAATCTAAATAAACCCATATTGAGGGCTATTTTAACTACAAATTTAAATTAATGAAATCGTGCCTTGCTCTTCAATCGGTTTAAATGTGTTGTTACCGTGATAATTAAAGATCGTTCTTGTAATGTTGTGGTTTTTTTTTTTTTTTTTTTTTTTTTTTTCAAAAAAAAGATCATTGTATATTACCGCTTTGCACAGTTTCCTACAGGTAAGATCGATGCTCTGATAGCCACGCTTTGACATTTTGGTTCAAGCTTGCCGGAGAAGGAAGTCGTCATTTCATCAAAAATGCGCGTGGTGGCCTGTCATTTTTTTTTTTCCTTTTCTTTTTAATTGCTCCTTGTAAAGTAAATATAGACCAATTATCACAGCAGATTAACAGAAATGTTCCATTAGAGTTGTACTGTGAATTTAGCAGACAGATCCGTTTCTCATTTAATTTGCTAATTTATGTATAACTCCAAGAAGCTGCGGTTCCTTTGGTAAACTGTTATTATAGGTGACTCCTCAGTTTATCTAGAAAAGTGAAGTATCTGCAGCAAAATCAACAGATAACCGGTATATTTTGTATATTTTTACGAAAGCACAAGTTAAAGGCGATTGTCAAAAATTTTTTCGTATGCACTCAATCATAGTTTGTTCAAAATTTCCTTCGATCATGCTATGCGTTGCTGGGTATTTCACGTTAAACTATCGATACAGTGACTTGTTAAGCAACCACTTCTGTTTAATTTAACGAGCCTTAAGTGCGGTGTAACTTGATTATTCCTGGCGTGTAGACACACAGCAGAAAAGATTCTTGAGACCACGCCGATAATTTCCACTGAAAATGAAACAGACGTAAGGGTTTATGGCACAGTTTGCGCTACCCAGAAAGGTCGAAATCGACGTGAATAATTGGAAACTACAAGTTGAAACGAATTTGTGTGGCGAAAATAACTTTATAAGCCAGTAGATAATGTGAGGTACCCAGCATATCGCAAACACGGACACGATAGCAATGGACATCTTCAGTACATTTCGCTCTTTCCTCTCTCGTTTTTCTCTTGCATTGTCTGATCTTTCGCCAGGAACCGCCTGGGTCTTGAGTTTAAGGAGAATGGATAGATAAAGTAAGGCGATCAAAACCGAAGGAAGGCAGAACAACAAAATTATAACTGCTAAAGCGTAGTTTTCGAAAGACGAGGACTTTCCGAAGGTGTCTTTCCATCTTAAATCGCACCATAGTCTTTCTTGGTTCTTAACGAGTTTTAGGGCGAAGAGAAAGGGCGACTGAATGGCCATCGCAACGATCCAAGTACCCAGAATGAAGAGACGGCATAGCTTTGAACTGATGAGTGGAGAGCGAAAAGGAAACATCACAGCTCCAAATCGATCAACTGCTATCAGAATCAGACTCTGGATAGACACAATAGAGGAGACATCTGTAAGAAAAGGAGGCAGCTTGCATAACATCTGACCAACAACACCGCTGATTACCCAAGGACCATTGTCGAACAACACTAGAAGCCTTCGCGTGAAAAGGAAAATCGGAAAGAGAAGATCAGATATCGCCATGTTTACAATGAAAAAGTTGATGGGCTTTCTCATGCGTTTCGTCTTGTAGACAATTATCCCAATGAACATGTTTCCAGCCAAGGAAACCGCTAACAACAGGCAGTAGGTAAAGGTGTATCCGATTTTTCTTGCTGTAGGGTCAAAGCAGTTCGATGACTGTGTGCCGTTAATCGTCGCATTTTCATATCGCGACATTTTCATGTATTTCAGTTTCAAGTATCCCAGTCTATGGAATAGCACCTGGTCCGACTCTCTCTTTTGTGCAGGTCTCGATGATCGACTTTGCGTGAGGAAACGGATGCGCTTCAGCCGATGCCATCCAGCTGAAAAAGTGTCACATTTCCCTGTCTTTGAATTTTAAATTACGTCCGAAAACGTGTCACTTCCTGGTTTTTTTTTTCAATCAAAATTGGAATAAAGCTTTCGCGGTACATGTAAGGTAAAGAAGCTTTCTTCAAACGAAGCTTTTTCTTGTCAATTATACTGACATTCAGTTTTTAAATGTATTATTAGATTTGAATAAAATTGGGGGTGGCAGTAAAATTTCTTTGCTTTATATAGAAACAGCTGGTTCGGGATGTTTTTTTTCTTGAACGTATGCAGCGTTACATGAGGTGAGTGACTCTCTAAAGAATCTGCCAGGTGATGTGTTTAATTCGGCAACAAGTCCTATGACGTTTAAGGAAACATTTTACACCCACACAAATCATTCACTTTTAATAACTGTTTTTTTCCTAAATGATCATTACATTTTATTTTGTTTCGGTCTTGTTTTCCGCTTATTTAATAAAGTAGAGCGAGATCAAACCGAATTATAAGTGGACCGACAACGCGGTTATTTGTTGAATCAAATTAATAACCCAATACTAGTTATGTCTTAAAAGCCGGCTGGAAGTGTATTGTACCGCAGCATATAAATGAGAAAGGAAATGAGACAATGTCATTTCTGTCAGGCTACTAGCTTCCTTTACTAATATCTGCGCAAAGCGCCGTTGGGGAAGTAATTGGTTTCCAGGGGGATGGGGTGCCCCAGAGGATTTTGAGGGACCACGTGGTTTTCAGGGGGGTCGCTCGTCGCCAACACTGCTGATAAACTGCCAGTGGGGGAAGGGGTGTATAAATAATATAACAGAGCCTTATGGGGGATGAAGTAAATTTTATCGGGACATGACCAAAATCCTCCGATATCCCCCTCCCTACCCCGGCGATAAATAACGATTGGTCCCTAAATACTTTTCGTGGAGCTGGGGTGGGGTGGACATTGTCATATATGTTTCAATACAAAATATTTTACTTCTTCTCTAGAGTTATCTAGCTTTTCAGATGAATATAATCTGCGGGGCAAATAAATAAATAAATAAAACGACTGGGCAAGTTTTTTTTTTTTTCAGTAAACCTAAAGAAAAGTTAATCGTTTGCGTTTCTGCGCCATCAGTTTGACAGCAAATTTCTTTATTATGATAATGATTACTTGAAACTAAAGAAACATTGACAAGTAACAAATTGAAAAACTTATTGCAATCAACGAAGTGGCTTTGGCACCGATAGAAAGAGGTGCCAATGTGGGATTGTCCTCCTTTCTCTCACACAGCATTTGTATCAGAGAAATTGTAAGATAAGCTAAATGTCCTCATTTCTCATCACTGGAACACATACCGTAAACTACCGCTTATGAGCCTTGGGTTTATATAACTTCGTAGGGGGTTTTAAGAGTACTTATATACGGAAGTGCTTACATCTGAGGAAGGCATGTAACCGGAATAGAAAAAGTGCTTCAAAACGAACCATAGCAGTGCTAACCAAACTAGACGCTCGAGGCGCGTTCACTTGGGCTTCGTTTATAGCCATGGGATTCACACAAAACACGAGTACAATTGTAATACACATCATTTGCACGACGAGATCTGAATTGTTGTACTTTTATCAACACTGTAACATCATTATGTTCATGTACATTTGTCATATCGACAACTTTTTCTACTAGCTTACATCCATTCATCGTGTCTTCTACAAAGCCCATACAACTCCATGCGAAGAGCAAACCAACATTCACGATCGCTTGTACAATAATAATTGTGATTATACACAACGAATAGATGAAATTCACATATCTGAACTCCGGTTATAGAAACGTATATCCGCTCGATCCTCGCAGTAAAGAGCACTATTTAAGCAATAGTGAAGATCAGACCTGAAAAATTTCACGCCTGTACGGGATTCGAACCACTGACCTCTGCGATACTAGTGCAGCGCTCTACCAATTGAGCTAACAAGCCAACTGGGAGCAGGTCATCAAATTAAGTTTGGGAGATAATAAGTCAGTCCTTAGATGAGCCTGAATCTCCCAGGTTTACTGTGAATCCGAAATCTGTACGTGATCACTACATCCTTTTTTCTTTCTTTTCCGTCACTTTAACAGATGCACTCGGGATGAAAACTAAACGTTCGAATCGAAGAAAAATAAAATATTTTGAATTCTGGGATGTTCTTCATGCTGTTGGCTCCATCACGTTACGATTTTGGACCAGTGCCTTAACGGCAGGTGAAATGTTGTACAAGCGTCTCTGCGAAAGGCACCTTCACACAACTTACGTGGAAAAACTGGCCACAGCTATCGCATCCAAGCCAATCCGAATGGGGAGATTCATTCTTACGGGTTGTGGAGTTTTCCGGAGCGATTCAAAAATCATTCAGATCGAGAACTCAATTTCTGTAGAGTTCCCTAGCTTTCATTTCCAGGGAAACAAAAGTAGAGATTGCAAAAATCAAGTGAAAAGCACGCCAGCTGTGATTAACGCCTCGGACAACCGAAGTCACGTTACTTTCTTTTCGTCGCATGGCAAGTTTCCAAACAAAAATATCATTTTTTGATGCCTTTCCCAATGCCTTCGTTGCTTATTAGAGCAGTAAAAGATATTTGAATAGTCGACGCTTTTGAGAAATGTCTTAACCTGTTATTTAGCAAAGTTTATTGTTAACATTTCGGGACTGATATCTCGATTATTTAATACAACAACTACAAATAATTTGTCTCTACATGATGTATTAAAGCTATTTCACCGCTGACCACTCTTATCTCGGACCATTTTTCTTGCCCCGATCGTCGCCCGTGGTGTAGTGACTCCCCCTTTTGGCGACTAAGAACGGCTTGCATTTTAAGACTCAGGCTTTCCTATGGAAGCCCGAGTAAATACGTTTTCAGTATATTTAGTGATTTTTAATTAAACTACAAAACGTCATGATAGTAAATTGAGTTCTTATCTCTCAAAATACGAAAGGTTAGAAGGGGCTTATATCCTGAAGGGCTTATGATCGGAAATATTTTTTTCGTTTACAAGTAGATGAGCCAAGTGTGTGTATGTGTGCAGGCGCCGGCAGTTAATGGTATCTAAGAAGCAGCGGCAGTTAATGGTATCTAAGAAGCAGCGTTTGGCGCAAACGAACTTTTGGATGGAAGGGCTTTTAATTTTGCCTCTCTCTGTGATACTGGCTATGCGCTCTTAATGGGCCGGAGACACTCTTTTTATGACAAGAATGACATTGGGTGACAGTGTTTTAGTTTGTGCCCCAAACGATATTTACATCAGAAACGACAGAAGCATGGTCTTGCCAGAAACATAGCAAAATAAACAGACATTTACGTAAAAGGTAAAATAATTTTACTTTGTTAATAACGAAACAGAGCAGATTAGTATTTTCCTCGCCGATACTAATATTCCTTCGGGTAATATAACTTTCCTATATGAATCATCAATATTCAGTATATACTAGAAAGGTGGATAGCGTCGAATGCGCACTCTGATTGACCACTCAAACTCTAAATATCCTTTGATAATCACCTCCGTGCAACTTGCGCGAAATTTGCGTCCGCACATTTTGTAATTGTTGCACGAATAAATGACTTAAACTCATCTTTTTGGGTTACATTATCTCTCTATTTTAGTTTAGTATATACTAAAACAGTGGATAGCGTTGAAGGCGCGCTCTGACTGGCTAGTCAAACTCCTAATATCCTTTGCTATTTACCTCCGAGCAACTCGGAAAAAAATGGCGTCCCGGTTTGCATCCGTGACAAGCGAAGAAATCACTCAAATCAATTTTTGGTGGTGTCTATTATCTCACTGTTTTAGTATATACTAAAACAACTATTCACCTCAGTGTCGGTGGATAGTTGTTAAATATTCTAAAAGATTATTCACCTACGTGTCGGCGACTAGCGGTGGATATATAATTCGCTAGTCACCTCCAATTCAGTGAATAGTTGATTATAAAATGCTCTTTGGACTAAAAAGCAAGCTTTGTAGGTCAGTAAATTAGTTTGTCATGGACTTTTCAGGCTTCAAATGACTTCCTTTCTTTGTGGATGTCAATATAAGGTAAAACACATCCGGAACGATTAGGGTTTTTTTCATACATCCACATCGTTGATCTTTAATTTGAGTGTTGTACATGCAATCGCAGTAAACTACCAAATAGGGACAGTTAATATATGATATTTGCTTCGTGTCTCTATTTTTCCATTTCAACACATTTAGAGATTGCAAGCTTTTGAATTGAATATTTATATCGTTGTCATGCTTATCAGCAGTGACATTCAGCGAATATTACGTTCAGACAACTCTTTTAGAACACCTTTTGCGCTGTTCTCTTACCCATCCTTCTTCCCCTTTTAAAGTGGTCAATAATCCATTTTATTATATGGCTGTGTCTCACAAGGACTGGGAACTACCGAATTCACGAATTTGATTGGCTGAAATCAATATTGAAAGCGGTCTAAATTTTCCCATCCAGACCGGCATCTATACTGGCATCTAGACCGGTCTAGAAGAAAAAGGTACA